TTCTCTGAAAAGGGAAAGAGTAGTTGCTTTATTGATATGGTACCTGGTATACAGATTATGCAGATTTTGATTTATTTACAAAAATATTAATATACAAAAACACATGAAATGAAATATTACATTCTGCATGGGGCATTGATTTGCAACCACAAAAAGATATAATAATGAACAATGAAACAAACTAGGAAGCATATAGCATACTGTAGCACAGCATAAGAACACAGCTATAAAATAAATCCCCTAGTTTTGTAGGTATTAAAGAAAAGAAAATAGCCACACATATAAATAATGACTTGTCCCACGTAGAAATCCTCTTTAAGGTCTCATGATAATGTCTCTAGTGATTAATAGCAAAGATGCAGGACAAAATTAAATCATGCATTTAAAGAGATACGCAATAGTTGGGTATAGCCATAATTACATTAAAAAAAGACTGAATCTTTCTTATTAAAAAAAATCTCTTTCAAATGTCTGTTTTATTCTATCAATTAATGTTAACTAACTTAATTGTTATAGCCATTTTTTATAATAAATTCATACTGCAAAATAGCTGGAGGGAATAGTTGGAAAATAGGTTTACCAAAATGCGCAGCAGAAGAGTTGGAGTTCACAGAGGTGCTTTGGTTAGTTCCTGCGATGGAGGTGGATGTGAGGAAAGAGTACAAACTATATTTTTTAGTCAGAAAACAGCAGTTAGTTATGAATTGTAAGTGTTTAATCAGCAGAGTGACAATCAAGGTGATTTATTTGTTAATGTTATTATTTTTGATTGTGAGATCAGCAGTGAAGCGTTACAGTTATAACTGGTCCGGCATGACAAACTGCAGCAGGGGCAAATGTCAGACTGTTGTGACAGAAACTCCACCATTCACAGTCTTTAGCAATTGCAAAACCAACAATTTAATCAAATAAAAAAAATCCAAACATAAAAAAGAGTAACATTTTATCTTCATAATCCCCATTTGCATAGCCTCACTGCAGAGGAATTACATTTACACCTAATCTTAGTTATCTTGAAAGCTGAAGGATTTCAAATTAATGATTTTGAAATCACAGATTGAAAAACTTGTTTCCGAGCTAAAACTTGAATTAAGAAGCATTTTTATATACTTATATAGAAAATACTCTTTCTCCCTCCAAGTAAGAAAACATTTATGTTTAGAATGTTTTATCTTGAATGGATTACAGTGACCTGGTATGAGTGACCATTGCCTAAATCATTTGGATGCTGTGCTGTGGATGCTTTACTGGCTGTGGAAATTCTGTATTCCACTGTTCTTTGTGTACAAACTCAATCCAGACTGCGCTCCCAAAATATTGCACTGATGCAAAATTATTTTTAAGCTTCCCCTTTCTTACTGGTCAAACGTACACAACAGCCAAAAATATTCAGAACTGATTACAATGGGGAACTTAATGTAAATTGTTAAGGAAGGACAAAAAATCACTCTTGTACAGTATCTCTGATCAAAAGCGCTTTAAATTATGCCTGTTCTATTTTGAACATGTTCTATTCAACATTCAATCTTCCCCTCTTAGCAAAGGTTTTGAAACTGAATTAAATTTTTACCTGGTTAAATAAATGATAAACAGTAAATATTAGCATTATTGGAACTAGCTATTTCAAATAAATTCAATCAATCATTGACTGACTTTTACTTTGGAGTGTTTTGGTGTTCTAAAAGTTGTTTACATCTGACAGATGTAACCAAATTCCGTGCACGAGGTGGGATGTTAAAACCACAGATGTCTAACAGAAGTGTCACCTCCACCTTCAAGACACAACACATAGGAAAAAAGCTGCATCAGAGTGTTACCCTGTTGTACAATCATGATTTCCATTGAAGACGAAAGAGACAGCATGTTGATTGTTCATTTAGAGAATATGGGGCAACCTTTTCATTATGGAAGATTACCATGCCTTACCACAATCTGCAATACCCCACCTCCAAGCATTTCCACTGACTACTCTGTGAGTTAAACCACAGACGATCTAACAGAAATCTCAGAGGGGCAAACCGCATGAGTAACATTTACCTAAATGTTACCAACATTTCACAGATTTCTAAAGTAAGTAACTATATTATTAAGGCTGGATGTTATTTGAGTTACATTGCGTGTTAACGGCACAACACATTTCCATTGAAGTTCCCCAAATGGCACAATTGTACAGTAGAAAATATACAAAGAGGAATTGTTAGTTAGAAGCACAATATACCTTGCTGCTTAGTATCTATAAGGACAAATCCTTAGGACCTTATAAAAAAAAAAAGTCTGAAGCGCTTAAACATCTGAAATGCTGAAAAAGAATGCCAGTAAAACGTGTTAATGTTCAAACCTGATTTGATGCTCTGTGCTTCAGACAGCAAGAAGACAAGCATGGCATAAATCCACTTAATGTCCTTCATCTCCAGTTGTCTTCAGTTTCTTCTGGCAACCACAGTGCCTCTGACACAAGTTAAAAACACATCAAGTCTTTAAATCCTCAGTCCTGAACTCTGTCTACAGTAACAACACGCTGTTGTGTCGTTTTGTCTGGGTTGTACTGTTTGTTAAACCTTCCATTTCCCTACGCATGCCCGATAAGCTCTGGGTTTGAGCTAAGCCAGTTCGTCACCCTATCCAGACTAACCGAACATCCTTCACACCCTACATAAAAAGAACTATAGAGGACATGTGACTAAAAGATCCCTCCCTCCCCTTCTTTCTCTTCCCCTCTCTCCAAAGCGCTTTCCACAAAAAACATCTGTCTTATTCTCCCACACAGGATGACGTATGACAAGACACCAGTTTCCTTTCTTGCTTCTCGCATGATCACGTTGTAAAAGCAGATTGTGTGTACGCTCCAAGCTAGACAACATTATAAAGCAGATACTTTAGACACAGCCAGAATTTGTATTTGCATTGAATGTTTCTTGATTTTGACTGCCTTACTCTTTGCCTTGCTAACTGGGGTAAGAACAAATGATAAACTGCTATACACCAGCCCTGCAATACATCAGACTTTATTGAATGTTGAAATGAAACTCAGCAAGAGATGTTGACTTTATTAACATTTTGGGGTCTGTAGTTTGGGGCGCTGTTGAGTTGCATTGTACTGTGGGTGTTTATAACTTTGTGTGTTATAACTGGTGTGTCAGGGCCTTAGTCTATTTTATATTGTTATAATGGTGTTGACTAAGACTTACATCTCATTGACACACAACACAATGGGCAACGACTATAACACCTCAATGTAAAGTTTAATTAAATCACAAACACAAACATTATAACCTTCATGAGGCATAATAGGAGGCAATGCCAGGTTAGACTGCATATTTTAGATTACAAACTGGTCACTGAAAGGATTAAGGTAGAAGAAATATTCCATACTGAGTAATAGTTATTTGTTTAAGGTCTTATGCTGGTGTAAGAACATCTTGCTCTATAACGGTTATGCGAGTTGCTTACATGTGCTGTTTTTCGAGCATCAAACGCCTGTGGCTACAAGCCATCTCCAGTATGCAGGTCAGAGATTAACTGACAACATAAAAATGTGGTGGAGTGTGTGCGTGTAGTTATGATCTGCAAGCCTCTATGCAGAGTGTGTGGTTAATAGGTTTATCACACAATGAAACATCCTGATATTAGCAGCTTCATATAAGATCAGATAGGAAATAGAAACGCGTTTTTCCTTCTCTCGAGTTCACTATGACTCTGCCCATGATTGCTACATAAAACTAACATTCAATAGAGATACACAAATTATACAAATAGAAAGGTACTTTACATTTTATGGCTAAACTCTCTGATGTAAAAACATTTAAATAAACATATAACATGTGAGTAGGTAAACTTTTCAGTAATATGTTTTGTACAGGCACAAGGCAGTTCTTCTTTTAACAATCTATTATTAGACCCTGTTTATTCAACACAAATAACAGAAGTTCAGCTGATTGTGAGCTGGCAAACATAAACTGGCATTTTCCAGAGAATTGCAAAACTTCCTCACTGGCTAATGTGATGTTGCTTTGGTCAGCATAATTCCTAAAATATATATGTGTGTGTGTGTGTGTGTGTGTGTGTGTGTGTGTGTGTGTGTGTGTGTGTGTGTGTGTGTGTGTGTGTGTGTGTGTGTGTGTCTTCTCTCTCTCTGATAACACACAGTTTCCTGTTGATGTCAAAATCAACCTCTTTGGAAACCTAAAATGATGTGAAGGGTCAAGAAAAAACTTGATGTATAAAGTGGAACAAAGCAAATGTATTCTGGAAATTAATAATATCTAAATAGTAAGAAGGAACTTTAATTAATGTTTGAAATGTTAAACCCCTGATTATTAGACAAACTTTAATAAAGTATTGTTTGCCCTCATAAAAACAAAGTAACATTTTATTCTATACAACATTCTAACTGCAAAAACTATTTTTGAGGCACTAGCTAATAAAATGTTGTGACTCTCGGCTAGTAGGCTGTAGAAATATATAATGAAAGAAATAACATTTTATATTTATTGCACAAGGGTTAGAGTTCCACTTTAATCAAATATAATAATAAGTTTCATATGTAAACCCATCTTAATTTAAAATAAATAGTTAAGTGGCAAAGGGAGTGGAACATGGTCGAAGGGGTGGAACCGGTTGGAACCATCCATGGGGAGAACCACTGTTTCAGGAAGTACCGTACATTTTTTCACTCTGTAATTCTCATTTGAAAGGGTTTACTTCCTTATGATTTAAACACGACAACGTACATTGTACAACGATGAGCTGTGGTAATGCTGTAGTCATTAGTAAGCTACGAATCTCCTTGCTGATAAATCATGTTTTTGTATTTCGCCTGTTTGGTACACGGTTTGGTACGGGAAATGTTAAAACGACAGTACCCATTAACCTCAGTCGCTGTTGCAGTTGGAAATATAATATTTATCAGGAAGGTAGACAGATTAAGTTAATGCTTGCCGTTTCGGTTGGGTTGTTACTGTAGAGATCCGTGAAAATCGTGGTTGGTACATAGGCCTATAGACTTGCACATTTCACGTTCAAATTACAACATAAAACACCTGCCAAAACACCAGTCTATGGCAAATGCCATGACTGGACCACGACGTTAAACAAAACATGACATCCCCCCCTCGGCCCCTCCCACTTTCAATTTCAAAAGCTATGTTTACGGTCTCCATGGCAACAATACGCAGAGTTCTCTGATGTCGCTTTCTGGGGGAAACTCAACCTCAAAACACGTTTATTTTGTTTAAATAAGAACATGAGCGTATCTGTCACTCGCACAATTACGAAGAATAATGACGCTAATAAAGTTGCTAGGAGGCAGCGGGAGTATGACCACTTGTATGGTAAGTAAACTAAAGTGGACGCCATCTGACCTGAGCTAAACGCATTTGTAAACGTGCTAAGTAGGTTAGCATTAGCTCATTCGCTTGGCATTTAACTAACGTTTACTCAACAGATCCAGTTTACACAGTGTCATCGGAGGTAGACCATGCCAGGTCTAACCTGAAGGCATATGCGTCTAAAGATCGAGTCGTAAGTTAAGTCGCTTCATTTGTCATGCATTGTTTGTGTTGCCAACAATTCATATAAGAAATGTCATCAAATAACGCTAACTGACTATTTGTCATAATTAGTACAAGTTCTGAGACAGTCAGTCATTCCTGCACACGTATATTGGGTTAAACTGTTATCATCATATTGTGTTTTGTGTGGTTATATTTCAGTGGTCGAAAGTAACCAAGTACATTTACTCAAGTATTGTACTTAAGTACTTTTCTGACATTCTTGAGTATTTCCATTTTTCTGCTACTTTATATATTTATATGGTATAATGCAGTACTGTACAACTAATCTTCACAGTATTTAATGTATCTACATTTGGTCCACACTGAGAAACTACAATAAATGTAAATAATTAATGTTATTAATTTAAATTAAATGCTCTTACATGTATAAAAACAGGATAATACAATAACCATAATTATATAATACTGTAAAAATATCTATTATACTTTTTTGTACTTGCTTTATATTAAGCTGATAATACTTTTGTACTATGTTATACTGGAATGGGTCATTGTGCAGAATGAGTAGTTGTTGTACTTTAAGTACATTTTGATGCTAACACTTTGGTACTTGTATTTAAGTAGAATTTAGAAATCACAACTTTTACTTGTAGTGGAGTATTTTAAGACCACAATATTTGTACTTTTACTTAAGTAGAGGTTCTGAGTACTTCTTCCAACAGTGATCGTTTCAGACACACGTTTGATATAAAATGTGCTATCTTAGGTTGTAAACAAAGCCCATCTAGAAACTTTACCCAGGATTTGATTTCCAGATTAGTGTGTTGACCATTTTTTTTGGGCTGAAAAAAATTAGATAAGACTATAGTTATAAGTGTGTTGTATCGTAGTTTTAAATTAATTAATTAATATGTTTTATCTCACAGTATAAAAACTGACGTTAACTCAGAAAAAAGGAATGATTGACCCACTTTGTGTTTAACTCTTTCTGAACCATAACTCATCATCAGTATTCTTTTTGACTTGTTTCTGATGACACAAATGAAGAAAAAACACCTAATGAATGTGAAATTGACTCATTGACAGCATTTCTCTCCATCTCCATTAGAGATTAGTGCCTGAGTATGAGTCCATGTTCAGTAACCTTTCCCACCACCCACGGTTCACTGTTCACCTGGACCCTACAGACCCGGTACCGACCTCTATTGATCGCCGCTGGAGGGGCCACACTGACCAGCGTAAAGGGGCTCTGCAGCAGCTGGCTGGGTACCACCAACAGACACCATTTTAATGAGCAGCAGCAGATACTAAATTGTATTTAAGGTTCATTTATGTCACTTGTAGCAAATAAAAACTGTGTGTTTTGGCATTATCTTCTTGACAGGATTATTCACACTGCGGAGTGCCGTGTGACCGGAGCTGATAGCTGGAAATACTTTAAACGGTTTGATTAACCATCATACACTCCGAAACTGTGAATAGGGTGCAATACAATCATATCAACAGTTTACTAAAGATAACTGTCATGCAGCCACAGTTTCCGCATTAAATATTGACATGCAATATTGACTCTGACGTGGTGTTCCATTCTGTTTCCTCTAGCCCTCTGATTCCCTTCGCACAGCAGGTTCCCCCGGATGTTATTTTTGCGTTGCCGAAGTATGTTGGCCAGTTTACACGTCTTTATTTTCCAGACATTTCTGTATTGCTTTTTTGTTGGTAGAGGGTACATCCTCTGTTATGTCTCATCAGAGAACAGTTTGCATCCTCTGGTGGAAAGAATGCTGAGAAACAGCCCACCCATTTCACTGTGGGGGTCCAGACCGACTACAGGGAAAGTGAAACCCAGACGGACCCGTACAGCCCTCAGTATGTGGTACAACCCGGGACCTCTCCCTCAGAGCTCCTGCGGCTGGCAGCTTTGACTTGGGGTAAATTATCAACTGTTCAGATCTTTACCAGTTATAGAATATCATTTATATTACCTTTGTTTAAACAACATGTCAAGCCGCCCAACTGTTGCACTAGGCTAAATAGTCTAACTGTACATTTAGCGTCTTATAACTACCAATGCCTATCATAATCATCATAATCAGCATATTGCGTTTAAACAAGGGGTATCCAAACTTTTTTCACCGAGGGCCACATACAGAAAAATATACGAAGGGCTGGGCCACTCACTAGAGGTGTATTGCCTCATAAGTTCAGTTATAAGTTAGCAAAATCAATCAAATGTAGGTAAATGATACTTGTGAGTGTTGGCAGCTCATTCCTTAAAACAGAAGCCTCAGATTGATTACAATAAGGAGAAATAGTAAGGGTGTATTTCAAGCTTGTTCTGTAAACAAGTCATTAGGCTTTTTTCTTATCAACTAAGATATGTTAGAAAATGTTTTCAACTTTAATTGTCTGAATTTATTTGAAAAGTGGTCGTATTAACACATGAATACTACTGTGTAATATATTTTTACATTTAACAAGTACAAAATAAGACAAGTGCAAGTTTCATTTGTGGGCCATATTCCATTATACTTTTTGAATTTGCTGAGGGCCGATTCATAATGGTCCGAGGGCCGCATTTGGCCCCCGGGCCATAGTTTGGACACCCCAGTTTTAAACACTCCTCCATGACATTTCCCCTCAGGTTGTGGTCTGCCTGTAGGCCTGGCAGAAGTGGAAATGATAGAGCGGGCACGGGCCAAAAGAGCTTGGGAGGCCACTCTTCCTCCATTGGATGATCTTAGTCAGCTGGACAAAAGGAGACGAATGATGGAGGAGATGGAGGTCAAAGAGTGGGCTTTCAGAGAGGGAGAAATCCAGAAGTAAGTGATGCTGCAACTCAACTGCTATTATTTAAAATGTTTTCATCCAACTGTGTGAATTGAGTGAACTGCTGTTTTCTTCTACACTACCATTGGAGACATTGAGCTTAAATAAGTTCTTATATTGTTAAGGCAGTTTTTCTTAACCGACATAAACATCTGGGGTTAATATATGTCTAACAAAGAACTTGATTGAACAACCTTGATGCTTCTGCTGTGTATGCTTTGCAAAACCCGCCCTTCTTAATGCTCTCTGTTTCTGTGGGGGGGGGGGACCAGGTTGCAGGAGACTCGTCTTTTTGTCCTGAAGGACCTCCTGAGACAAAGAGATGAGGCCCAGAAAGAAGTCACAAATGACAGACTGAACCAGATATATTCTAAGAACCAAAAAGACAAAGAGTCCAAGCTGGACAAGATTCAGAATGACTACATGAGGGGTAAGACAACATCTGCCTTTCTGACACAATATCCAGTCCAAGTGTAATATGTGAAGCTTCCTTCCATTCTTTCTCCTCAGTCTCTTTGTTTATTTGTCTGTAGAACTGAGAAAACTGGACGCTAAGGGGCGAAATATGGAGTGGAAGCTGGATCGCCTTGGTGTTATCAAAGAACTGAAAGATTCTCAGGCAGTTTCCCCACAGAGCCGAAGTGATAAGTTCTCCAACAGGATCACCCGAAACAAGGAGTTTAAAAGCCACTACTTAGACACATATGAAGGTCTGAAACGAAATGTTTTTAAACTAATTGAGTAGATCATTTCCATACTAGCAGAGAATAGTATGTCTTTCAACTTGTTGTCAATCATAGGTTTGGCGGAGCTAGGGGCAGGAATATCGGCCTCTGTACTCAAGCCACTGGGAAATAAAACAAAACCCAAAGCCCGCATCCCCAAGAGTATGATCAAGCCCCCAGTGTGCAGAGGGGTTGACCTGATGATGAAATACAAGGTAAAGCAGACAGAGCTTCATCCTATATCTTCTCAGTTCTACAAACACATTCATTATTCCTTGTGGCTCCGTAGGCCCTCAAAGAGGATCGTGAACAAGAGGAGTGTGAGCAGGAGAAGTCTTCAAGATTCCTTCTGAAGACGGAGAAGCCTGTTGTTCGTCCTGTCACTCCCAGAGTGGACGAGCCACCAGAGGTCAGCTGACGTCCCAGATTCTAATTGACCTTGCTCACTAAACACGTTTTATCTTGTTTATGTTAATGAATCGATGTGGTTTTCATTAGGGTGATGAGGAGCGAGAGTTGGCGGTCATCCACTTGCAAAAGCTTCTAAGAGGAAGAAGTATCCAATACGAGGTAATAACCTGACTTTTTCTTCTGAAGTGCATATCGGCATGTTTTGAAGACTCAAATTCCCTCCTATCTGTGTGTTTTTACAGATGTTTGAGGGCAAGGAGAACCATCTGGACCTCATCCATGAACTGAGGACCGTCCATGCACTCCAGAGGGAGGAGCAAGGGCTACAGAAAGCTGACAAAGGGCTCGTAATGAGCCTTAAAAAACAGAGAGACAAACATAGACATGAGGTAAAACACAGAAAACATTGACACGTTTTACAAAGTCCAAACAATCTCATATCCCCCCCCCC